AGCGAGGAGGGAAGTGGCCATGGCTGCAGGCCCACCAGCCCTCCCGGCTCTGCCCGGTGCTCCCAGCGCAGGTGGCCTCCTGCACTGAACATCTCAATAGATGGATTAAATTGATGTTTCCAATCTGAGAATTTGTAAAGTTGGGGCTTTTTCTCTGGATTGGCCCCCAAACCTCTGCCCTCCCGCCTCCCGCTGGGGTGGGACCGGGGAGCTGAAGTGCCTGGCAGCTCCCAGTCTGTCTGGGGGCCTCAGCGGTTCCCACCCTGGAAGCTCACCCCCCCTTCACACATCTACCGCACGAGGACAGCTATCCTCCCGAATGGACACTGTTTGACAAGAACCACCAAGGATAAAATCAGGGTGGGGGCCTGGGGTCCCCGCCAAGACCTCCGAGGCAGGGACGCTGCCTGCCAGCATCCCGCTCCTGTCCCGCTGCCCACGCTCCCTGTCCCAGCTGGGGCTGGGGCCATCGTGCAGCAGCAGCCGAGGCTGGGGGGAGCAATGGGAACGCGGGTCCTGGCTCTCGGTGGGAGGCACGGAGCAAGTGTTCGTGACAGAGGGGCTGCCCAGCTGCCCCAGAGCCTGGAGCTGATTTTATCCTTGGATGTCAAAGAAACCAAAATGGAGAAACAAAGGAAAGAGCAACATCGACCCCAGCCCAACATCCCAACCAAGGGCCCAAAGCAAAGAGCAGCCACAAAACCAAAGCAAAGGTCCAAAGGAAGAAGGAAAAGTCGCTCACTCACTGGTTGGTCTGTGTTTTGCACGAGCGCCGGTCGCAGGGATGGAGGTGCAAGCAAGCAAACGGGGCCCGGGCTTTCACTGTTCATAGTAATAACGTTTTGTACAAGTTCAAGAAGAAGCATCACGTCTCAGGCCGGTCGCTCTCTGCCCTGCCGTCCCTCTGTCTGTCCGTCTGCCCGTGCCGGGCGTGAGAGAAAATCTGTTGGGTTGAGTGGGGTTTGTGGTCTGGTTTCCATTTCCATCGGGGTCTGTTGGCTCCATTTCTCGCTCCCTCTGACACCTCTAGATGAAATACTCTTTCTTGTCGTCGCCACCGGCTTGGCCACCCTCTGCATTGATGATGGCCGTGTCGGCATCGGGGGCGTCGTCCGACCCCTTGGCCTCGTGGGTCAGGTAGGGACCTGGGTGGGGAGAGGGGCTCAGCGTCACGGGGGGGCCCTGCCGGCACCCTGCTCCCATGCAAGCAGGGGGAGGCTGAGCTGCCTGGAGGGGCCCCGGTTGGCTGGAAAGCAGAGCCGAGAGGAAAGTCCTTTGGGTCTGGCCTGAAACGGAAAAGTCACCAGTTTCCCTGGGACAAGCCCTGCCTGGGGACCGAGCCTCACCCGGGCTGCTCGAGGCTTTCACAGTCGTCTCTAGCCTGAGGATGAAACTGCCCTCCCCGTGACAGGCAGCAGCCCTCGCCTGCGTCCCCAGGCACGTCTCCTGCCCTCCCCACCATCTGCCCCTCCCTGCATCCCTGTCCCTGTTCCCCCTGGAAAACTGGAGGGTTTCTCTTCAGAACTGCCATCTGCAAGGATGCTCCGGCTCCCGGCTGCCCCCAGAGCTGGCACGGCGCGGGGCAGAGGTGGCAGCTCCGCTGGGCTCGGAGGGCAGGGATGGGGGGCTCTTACTCACACATCACCTCTGCTGGGGTTTGCCGATGTCTGGATGTGACCGTCTCCCCGTGTCTTATGCACATACCTGCCAGGCGGATGAAAAGTCCAGGGATGGGGAGATGGAAATGGTGGAAGGAAAGGAGGAAGAGGAAGGCGGAGGGCTCGAGGGATGGCCAGGGCAGGGCGAGGGAGGAGGTGGGGTCAGGCACAGGCAGGGACGGTGGCATGGGCACCCCCAGGACGGTGGGTACCAAGCCATGAACGAGAGGTGGAGAAATGGGGTGGGAGCTGCCTCCACCTGGTGCTGCCTGGCTGCAAGGACTCGCTGGGACATCTCCATGCCGGGGTCGGTGCCAGCGGGGGCACGGGCAGCAGCCCCCAAAGCCAGGAGGGCTCCGCTGGCTGCGCTGGGTTTCTCCGCACATGGGGCAGGTCTGCAGAACGGGGAGCTGCCTCCCTTCACCCCGGCCCCACGCTGCCCGCTCGCTTTGGGGACGCAGCCCTGCTCCCAGATGCCCACCGAAGGGGGAGCACACCCTGCGCCGACGCGGCGAGGGGGTCTCGGCTCCGTGCCCCTCCCTGCACAGCTCCCCTGCCCCGTACCTTTGTGTCTGATCAGGTAGTGTCCCAGCACGATGAGAAGACTGAGCAGGAGGAAGACAATGACGGCCAACCACCCGCCGATCACCGCGTGGTAGGTGCTGGAGGTCGAGGGCACTGGGCTGGCGTCTGCCCGGATGGCAAAGGGAGAGAAAACAGAGAGAAGGAGACGCTGCGGGCTCTGCTGCGTGACAGAGGCTGCTGCTCGTCCCACACACCTGAGCGCTGCAGGCAGGCACCCCGGGGGGCTCAATCCTGCTCAGCTCAGCGCCTTCAACTCGGTCCCACTGCAGACGAGAGCTGTCAAGGGGGGAGCAAGAAAAGGGCAGGCAGCAGGGGAAGCAAGGAGGGAGAAGCAATGGCCATCAGCGCCGGCTCCTGCGCGGAGGGAACGGAGAAGCCCCGACGGCTGCGCTGGGGGTCCTGCCCGGGCGAGAAGGCAGCTGAGAAGAGCTGCGATGGGCAAAGCCACCCCCGTGCCCGGCTGCCTGCCACGTGTCCCGGGGAGCAGCACCAGCAACATGCTTTGTGCAGCCTGCGGTGCCTTTGGGCACAGCCACGACCCCACTGTCCCATCCTTTACAGGGGGGTTTTTGCCTCAAAAGGGGCGGCTGAGCACGTGGAGGAGTCGGGCTCGGCTCACTCTTCCCCGGCGCTGTGCCAGCAGGGAGGCGATGCGCAGGCTGGCACGGCCACACGCTGCACCCCAGGAGGGGATGACACCTCAAGGAAGGTGGGACCCCAGGGCCAGTCCCACGTCAGCTGCATCTCATAGTGCAGCCTGCGCTGGGATCCTGCCTTCGCCAGGGTACCCGGGCACAAACCCTCCTTCCACTCCACTCTCACTGTGCCCCATCAGCTCGGGGCCGGGGGGGGGGGGAAGACAGCGCCAGGAAAATGCTCAGGGGA